AAGGGTTCATTTGCACTTTAAAACGACTGTCCTTTTAAGATCCGTGTTTTAAGCCTAGTTTCGACCTGTAAACAAAGACAAAAACAAGCTTTTTTGACAGCATAATTAAATACCATTCAGATGAAATCCTTTTAGCTTATAATGAAACAATCGCAGATTCATGAAACAATTAGCATCGATGACAAACAGTCTTGTTGTAGGAAACTGGAATTGGAAAATTGTAAAATATAGCAAGAAAAAATTTATGCTCTCTTTAGATAATTTTAGATAACAAAGTCAGAACGTTCTAATTAAATATTACCCTAGTCGTGACAACGTTTCTAAAAGGATTGCTATCAAAGCATTTACTAGTAAGAACAAACATTTAGTCATATCAGGAAGGTGTGGCAATTCCAAAAAAGGTGTTCTTTATTAAAAGTAAACCGGCTTTAAACCATGTTTAACAAGCCACATTTATCATTGAAAGTTCGTGTTAGGAATATTTCATCTTCATGAAGACACTTGAAAGCATAGAATTATTCATTAACACTTGTCATCTTGTTCCTATTTCCCTGCAGGTGTCCTCATAGATCCTCAAAGGTGTGTCGATCCAATTGCATTAAGCTACTAATAGGTTTTGTCCCAGTTATGATATGTTAAAGTAGCACTAACAGCAATTATAGACACTCTTTTTGTTGAAGATAAAATGCTGTTCTTGGGTGAATGACAAGTCCTGAAACATAAACGCAAAGGAAAGAGAACTCGAGGAAGGAACTAGGGATGGCGCCGAAAGGAACGCTTTTGGTCTTCTTAGTAGTTTTAACCATTGACATTTTTTGCGAAAGTCCAGGTAAACTATGTTGAGTTAATATGGCAAATCACCTTTAAAATATCCAAGCCATTGTGAATATGAGAGCTTGAGCAGATTATTTTGACGAACGGAGGCCATAAACTTGAGCAAAGCTTATATTTACTCGATAATTCTGATCGACCAAACCAATATTCTCGAAGAAAAACTCACTGACCAATAACAAATTTTTTTCTTTGGTTTCATTTTTTCTATGAAAGCTTCTTTGATATAGTATTTCACTTCTTCAAATTCTAATGGCTTCAAACGACATAGCATGTTAAGGCCTGGGTTATGCAGCAATTGCAATTCTCTATCACACCATTAAACAATAAATTATCTGGTGTTTCTGCTTAATTATAAACAGCTTTCTCAAACTTTCTTAGATCGTGGTTCTTTACAAGTTGGTTCCAATAAACGGAAAAAAATTAGGTCACGTCTTTGCTGAACGTTTTCACACTTAATTTATTTCCTTTCCTGAAGTCGTTCAATTGACGTTGAGAATGGTTGGCTAAAGTTTTGTGTTAAGGAGATATTTAACAAAACAGGTCACGTGACCTGTGAAAAATATGAAGGAAATTTATGTTATTTAAAAATTGTAATAAATGTATGTATGTATGTAAAATATCCTTTATGCCCATTTTTCTCCTTTTGTAAACATTTTGGTCGACCATTCAAAACGTGAATATTTGTATCTTTGTTGCTACTTTCAAACAAGCTAAACAAATCTCACAAATAATCGAAAACCATCACCTAGGTTTTAATTTAGCATTTTCCCTATTTTACGGTCACGTGACCACCTTTTATGCAAATCTATCCATCCAAAAAGTTAAGCACCCCAAATAAGGATAACTGTTGCAATTGCATTGAAGTACATCTAAAAATGAGGAATCTATACGATGAAAAGTAATTTTTGCCCTTTTGAACAAAATCATAGGCCTTAACATGCTTAACGCGCGCGCGCGCGCATGACCTCCAATTTTTAATTTGTTTTTTAATTAGCGTATAAAATATCTAACTTTGCAGATAAAAAAACAGAGATGGGATTTTTTCTCAGCGCTATAAGATTAGAACAAGAGAAAATGATCTAGTTCATATTCTCTTGATTAGAATCATTTGTCCTCCAAGGCCATTTCAGGTTTTTACTTTGTTACACCTAGCTATTTCAAAAGACGTCGTTGGGCCGGCGGATATCTGAAATCTGAGACCAAAAGCAATTGTGGGTTGTAAACTGTAAATTGTTTTGGTTGTTTTAATTAGTAGCTCACAAAAGGTAATATCTAAATATACGAACTTTGAGCGATGGTCTGCGATGGCGAATTGTCTGACAGAATTTTTAACGAGAAAATACTCAGTCCCCCACAGTTCCAATCGGTCTCAGGTGTCAGATTAATTTCAGATCTCGGACCGATAAAGTTTTTCGAAATAGGTGTCTATGAAAGTGTTTTACTTTTCGCATGTTTTTTATCTTAGGTGACTGTAATTTTGACAGAGATTACTGTAATTGGGTGAACGACAAATCAGATAACTTTGATTGGCTTAGACGCTCAGGCAGTACACCAACCCTTTTTACTGGCCCATCTAAGGATCACACGAGTGGTAAGTAAGATTCGGAGCTACCTTTAAATTTACAATCATGGAGCAGTTTTGGATTGGGAAACGATTCGACAAATTTGTAACCATACTGCCAAGCCGTTCGCGGGTATCTTACAGGGTTGTGGATAGGAGTACCCGATTGTCAGCTAACTACTAATGTTTAGGCCAATTGTCAGTTAACTGTTAATAATTTTACATGCGCTGGCCATAATATTAGCTACTAATTTTAGGTTATTTTCAGTTAACTACCTAGGTCAATTGTCAATTAACTGTTAAACACCCTCTCTTACCGTAGCCGTAAGTAAAAGTTGTGAATGGATGATTACTACTGGAAGGCAACGGGAAACCATTTGAAATGTTACGGCATGTCGAACCGTGTGCGTAGCTTAATTCAGTACCGTACGTTTCCCCATCATAAGATAAGCATTTTTATGTGAAGCCATTTCAATGTTACGGTATGCTGTATCGTGTACGTGCTTGTGCGCAAGTCATCACTGAGTACCGTACGTTTCCTACTCACACGAATCCCGCTCTATCAAGTCATTACAATGATCCAATGACTCATGACTTATTTCAGTATCACTGCTTATTTTCTAGGGAAAGGATTCTACATCTATAATTACGCAAACGACGCCTCAGACAGTCATAAACCAGGCGACAAAGCAAAGCTATTAAGCCCTTCAATGCGGGGTCCAAAGTGCATGACCTTTTACTACAATATGTATGGCCAATATATGAGCTGTTTCCTAGTATACATTAAAGTAGAAAATAGTACTCAGTACCTTGCATGGATAAAGTCTGGCGATAGGGGAGACCGCTGGATTGAAGCTCAAGTCTTCATCAATGAAACAGGAAGCTATCAGGTTATTAACTGAATCATTATTCATACTTCACTGAACAAATTTTTTTTCTTCAACGAACAGCACTTTTTAAATCGCGAAAGGACGAAGCCGGGAAGTAATGAACGAACATAACTTGTGAATCTTCGGAACGACAGTTATGTATTAAATTTGAAAGTTTGCTGCCGCGGGATAAACACCAAAAAACAAACCGAAGAGAAAGTCTTGAATTTAAGTCTTATTCTTATTTAATCTCACTTTTATTGTATTTTATCTAGTTGTTTTAATTTAATGTTTTCTGAAATTAGTATAGCGCTCAAAATGCTGCTCTTCCAGTTTTGCGTCTTTGCAGTCGTCTTTGCAGATTTATCGCGCCCTTTTTTTTTTGGCGGGAAACAGACGCGTCTGCGATTGAAACGTATGGTGCACTCTCAAGCACTTTCATGCAAATTAGCTTCTTTTATTTTCTCAACACAAAAACATAGAGTAAAAAAACGTTAGAATTATAAATATCCAGTTATTATCAGGTAAGAAAGATGAAAGGTTCTTTTTTAATGAATGGTTTCGTGTTTTGAATCGTTCTGATGCGTAGTGGTCAAGGTTGTGTTTAAAATGCATACGGTGGAAAATAATTTACTCTAGTAAAATTTGTAAAAGCTAAAACTTGTAGAAAGGAAACTTATTTTCTATAATAGTGATTTTATTCGCTCTATATGAGCTCCATCTGCTAGCTAAAAACAAATCTGTTTTTTTCCCCAAAGAATATCACCGTAAAATTAGCAAATGAATTTGACGTTTCAAATGTGCTCGAGTTTAAGTTGAAAATAGATAAATTTTAAAAATTGGTTTGAGTGCGAAAAAATTATATTTTTTGCACGTCTCGTCTGTCTGGTTGTCTTTTAGGTGGTGCTTGAAGTTATACAAAACTGGAGTTGGTCAGGACATGGAGCCATTGACGACATCTCCTTTCACAATGGATCTTGTGAACAAAGTGAGTAATATTATTTATTATAATTGAACTTAATCAAGGATRCACAAGAATGATACAGAGTGACGTGATAAGTGATAAAATCACCTGTCATGAACTGGTTTTTGTTGAGTGGAGTGGAGCACCAGGCAAGCTTAAATTCTTAGATTAAAAAATATAGTACATTGGTATTTATAGGGCTATAAGTGGGATCTGAGTAGTTTTCCTACTTGCAGTATCTAATATTTATCATAATCATTATCATCATTATCATCACCACCAGCATCATTATCATCATCATCATCATTATCACCATCACTATCATCATCAGTATTATCATTAATCATCATGACCATCATCATTATCATCATCATCACCATCACCATTATCTTTATCATCACCACTATCATGATTATTATCATCAACATCATTATATCTATATTTTATTTATTTGACTTCGTCTATGACATACATGACAGGAATGTCATCTTTGAAGTCAGTTACTGTTGGCCCAGTCATGATCATCATCATCACAAACGTTATCCTCATCATCACAATTATAACATCATTATTGTTATTAATGCAATTATTATTRTCATCATCATCTCTATCATCATCATTGTTATGATATACTTATTATTTTCAAGATTAGTACCATCATCATCTTCATTATCATATCATCTTTATCATCATTGCTATTACATAATTATTTTTTCCAAGGCTAATATCATTTTTATAATCATCTTTATCATTAAATTATCATTATCATAATTATTATTTTCAAGACTAATATCATTTTTATCATTATCGTTATCATTAATTAAATTATCATTATAATCTGACATCTCTATCATCATCATCATCATCTCTATCATCAGTTTTTTAATTTATTATTTCATTTTACACTTAACAATGATTAATTTGAGTTACACAATAAATAGGTTAAATTATCAAATTAAGACAGAATGAACACCATCATCATCATCATATCATTCAGTTTTATTATCATTGCTATTGCATACTTATTATTTTCAAGACTAATATCACTATCATCTTCATCATCATTGTCATAGCATCATTCTTATCATCATTTTTATCATTATCATCCTTACCATCGTCAATAATCATCATTAATATTATTATTATTATAGATGACGACATTTTCTACGTCTCAAAGAAATATGATACCGAAGTGCTCTACAAAGTTGGAACTATGCCACAATATGGTGACTGGAAAAACCAGTTCTCTTTTACAGCTCGCAAAACCACAGGGGCCCTGGGGGAACCAATGCACTTTATTTATCCTTCAAGCAGCTATGGTTATCCTCTAATTACGAGCACTTTAAGATTGGAAATTCGGCGCTTCCCGCTTGACTTTTTCTACGATTCGGCTTTGATAAACACTTCTAGTGTGTTCTATGTTCTACAACGAGGAGGATCGATGTCAGAGCAAATCAGCACTGTTAATTCTTCATACGAACATTGTTGTAGTTTGCAAGGCATTAACTCATTCAACGCAGTACCAGTCGAAGGTAAGCATCGTTGTGAGCTGACTTTACATGTATAGCAATATTTGCAGCCTACGTTGTATACGTTGTCCATGTATGTAGGATAGACCTTATTCGTGCAAAGTTTTCCCATTACATACCACGTGTCATTCACAAGAGTATCATTTCTTTGTTTAACGGTT